CCCCAAAACCCCAAAACCCCAAAACCCCAAAACCCCATACGTCATTTATTCTTAAAAGTGATGAAATAATTTCAGACATTATCAAATAATAAAAATGATAGCTATAATTGTCGGAGTGTTTTTAGTTTGCCTAGGATTAGCACTTATTCTTATAAAGAAAAAGGCTAAGCCTCAAGCAGGCATTTCAGGTGGAGGTTTGACTGCAGAAGCTTAGGCAGAATTAGACAAAAAGAATTAACCAGTAAAGCCTGTAGAAGGAGCTATTCCCTTGGAAAGTCTCCAGGCTCCATCGAATTTTCCATCAGAAGTCGTCTTCTATTTCGGGTCACAGACAGGAACTGCTGAAAAATTCTGCTAAACCTTAGATGAAGAGTTACAGAAAATCAAAGGTGTACAAACTACTCGAGTCATAGATTTTGAGGAGTTCAAGCCAGAAGTTTTCACCAAACATCCACTAATCATATTTTGTGTTGCAACTCACTATGAAGGTGACCCATGCGATAATACAAAGAAAGCTTTCAGATGGATTAGAGATCAAAGAAAGATTAAGGATGAAAAGCCATGCTAAGGAATGAAATACACTGTCTTCGGATTAGGTGATACTTCATATGAACAGTATAATACTATTGGGAAACTATTTAACGAAGCCTTAGAAGAGCTAGGAGGAGAAAGAATTTATAGGTATGGAGAGGGAAATGCCGAAGGAAATAAGACAGAAGATGACTTCAATGAGTGGAGAAAATATCTTTGGAAGGAACTTATGGAATACTATGATAAGAATCAGACTTAGGAGGAGAAATAAATTACTCTTGATAGAAAGTAATCCATAGTGAATGAGGAGGTTTTAGCAGACCCCAATGTGGTGAAAGAAGTGCAGTATCCATTAGTAGCTGATTACATTGAAGAGGAATCGACTTTTGAATAGGATGCAGGCACATAGTATGAAATGGCCTCAAAATAATTTATCACAGCGAAAGATATTCCAATAAAATACATTAAGCAATTGAGGCAAAATCTAGATGAGGGTTCAACTCTTGAAATATCTTATGACCTTAATGATTCTGGATTGTCCTACAAAACTGCTGCTAATTTAGCCCTATTCCCATAGAATGACATCTCAGATGTAGTTTTATGTGCAGAGAGACTCAAAATTGACATTAATAAAAAATTCATTCTAAAAACTAACCCTAATTCAAGCAAAAAAGGTTCGATCAAACATCCTTTCCCAACCCCTGCCACTGTGCAATAGGCACTACAGGATTATATCGACTTAAAAGGTAAAGTTGGTAAAAAGACACTTAAAGATCTTAGTAATCATGCCACTGATACTTCTGAGAAGGAAAAGTAATTACTCTTAATCTAATAAATATTATAGGCTTCTAAAGCTTTTTGAAGATAAGGAAATGTATAGTGAGGAAATTGAGAAGCCTCAGCTTGGTCTATTAGACATACTTTTAAAATTCTAGTCAATTGATTTGCCTCTTCATGCTTTCTTACAAATATCATCAAGACTTATGGTATATTTGCTAGATTTAATTTTATTTAGCCAAGATACTATACAATTGCTTCAAGCAGTTTGAAATATCCAAATGAAGTCAGAATCGCTATTTCCTTGACAGAGGATGAGGTTTAGATCGATGGTTAAAAGGTCAAGAAAATGGGTTTGACCTCAGCTTATGTTAAGAAAATTGCAGAGCAAAACTTGGACTTTTCTTAGACAAGAATTACCAATAAGATCTTCATAAAAGACTCTCTATTCAAGCAACCATCTGATTATTCTGCAATACCAATTATTATGGTTGGTCCTGGAACAGGTGTTGTACCTTTTATCGGTTTCATGGAGGAAAGAGATATGCTAAAGAAGGCCAATCCAGATATGATTTTAGAAAAAGCACAGCTTTACTTTGGATGTAGAAAGAATAACTCTGACTTTATATATAAAGATGAGATCCTTGATTACAAGGAAAGATAAATTATATCTGATACTCAACTCGCTTTTTCTAGAGAAAGTGTTGGTAGCAGATGTTATGTGCAAGATTTAATGAAACAAAACAAGGATCATGTGATTAAGGTGCTTACTGAAGATAAGGGAAATATCTATTTATGTGGAAATACTAAAATGGGATTGGAGGTCCAAAACATATTAAAAGAATTCTTAGGAGAAGAGACTTACAAAAAATTAGAATCAGATAAAAGACTAGTCAAAGAATTATGGGGTTGATAGTTCTATACTTTATCAATTAATCACATTAATTTTTAAATACTAAGATAGATTCATCATAAATATGAGTGGTAATCCTCATCACTATTTAAAACCAGTAGAATTTCCTAATCTTTCTAGGGCATCATCCAATTTCCTTCTAAGCATAGCATTCTATTTGCTCAGCTCTTTAATAATCTTATCACTTTCATCCTTTGTCCTAGTTGGGCCTGGTTGTCCACCACCTCTGCCGAATCCATCCTTAGTCTAGTTCATGTCTTGCCTTATTCTAAAGTTCTCTTTCTCAAGTGATTCAACCTTATCTTCAAGTTCTGCTATTCTTAGTTCCTTTTCCTCAAATCTCTCATCTGGAGCACCTACACAATTAGTCAGCAAGTTCTTGATTTTGTCTTCTTTCTATTCCAGTTCTATTTCAAGACATTTAATCTAGTTTTTCAGTCTGCCATTCTCTGCTTTCATCTTGGCGAATTCTGGAACAGTGTCTTATTATTAAGACTTAACACTTGATGTAGTTGAAATACCGCCACTTGAGAGCTAAGACTTAACCCCCTTTGCTGATTCGATTCTCTTTATCTCTGCCTTAAGCATCTATATCAGTTTGTCATCATTCTCAGTCTTCTCTATTAGAATCTTGAATTTACTAGTGAATTCACTCTTAACATCTTTCATCTAGTTTTCAAGAGTGTCTCTGCGAGCAACTGCAGCCTTATATTTGGTCTTGACATTATTCAGCTCATCCTTAGTCTCCTCCAACTCTTTTCTCAGCTGCTCTAGCTCATTTGTACGGTTATTATTAAGCTTTGTTAAGTTCTTCTCGGCATGAGTAATCTTTCCTGTAAATACACTTGGAGTTTCTGAAATGACTGAAAGTCCATCATTCATCATACTTGTTCCAAAATTCTACTCCTTTAATTTCCTATTAAATTTAATCTAATCTTGTATTTAGAAACTGTAACACACTTACTTTATCTAGCTTTTAAGGACTTCAATTTTCTAAGCTCTGCCCTTCCAATTCGAATCTTCTCTCACCATATCATCAAGACTAACTATTTCACCTGTTTCTCTCTCCAAACATTTTATTGCTTTATCTAATTCTCCCTTTAGCTGCTGACTATTTTGATTTTAAAGAATATTCTAATTACTTTTCATTTCTTAACTTAGTTATCTTTTTCTCTAACTCTTTAAATTTCTTATCACTATCAATTCCAGTCATCATACTTTATGTCTCTAGTATATTATTGCTTTTCTTAGGAGACATTTAAGAGTTCGTCTCATCCAAATCCTTCTCTTTTTTTAGTTTAAGAGCGAATTCAGCAGCTTTGGCAGCTTTTGTCTTTAGAGACTCTACTTATAGTTACAACGATCTATTCTTTTTAGCAAGATCAATCAATTTCTTATCTTTCAAGTCAGCTTTACCTCCATTTGAAATAGCATCTACCATCTCCTTGTATTCGTTTACCTACTTTTCTCTAAAATTGAATGTTATCAATCCCAATTTTATCAATACGATTTGAAAAGTTTTTCCATGAGTATTCTGTTTTTTTCCTTGAGCACATCAGCTTCTGTTGTAAACCTAGGTTTTACATTAGTATCCTCTTCATCTGATGAAGACTGGACTTGATCTTCAAGATTTCTATTTACCTTTAGCCTCTTTTCAAAGTCATTTAAATCCGAGTCTAAATAGATAGTATATTAGCAAAGAGGTATGAAGATAGATTTTAAATTTACAAACTTCTTCCATTTTGAATTATGATTATTAATGTATGTCTGGAAACATTTAACTCATCTAAATTTATAATTAATTCACAATTTATTGATATAGATACAGTAGGGGTTTTGGGGTTTTGGGG